CAGGATAAAGAGTGAGGACTTCTGCATTTCATTTTATTTTTCATGTTTTACAAATACATATTTACTTAATATAGGGGATAATTAAACAGAATAATTTAAAAAGCCTGGGCAGTGACAATTCCCCTTTCAACGTTAGAGCTTTTTATCCCAATAATATTTCTATTAAAGGACCACTATAGGCACCCAGACCACTTCAGCTTAATGAAGTGGTCTGGGTGCCAAGTCCAGCTAGGTTTAACCCTTTCTTCTATAAACATAGCACTTTCAGAAAAACTGCTATGTTTACAATAGGGTTAATCCAGCCTCTAGTGGCTGTCTCATTGACAGCCTCTAGAGGCGCTTCCCAATGTGATTTTCACAGTGAGAAGACGCCTGCGTCCATAGGAAAGCAGTGAGAATGGCTCGTGCCGCGCATGTGCATTCAGCCGATGAGGAGGAGAGAAGGAGGAGAGTGGAAAAATAGGTAAATTTAACCAATTCCACCCCTAGAGCCCGGCGGGAGGGGGGCCCTGAGGGTGGGGGGGACCTAGAGACCCTATAGAGCCAGTAAATGAGTATGTTTTCTTGGCACTATAGTGGCCCTTTAAAGAATTACACCAACCTTCTTTTAAACAATGTCTTTTATCTTCACTTTTGCAAACATTATTATTGAGAATGCGGCAGTTTCACAACATATGTAAGAGAGTACAATCATTTGTCCAATGCACAGGATATCAATGTGGAATAATTATATGAAAAATAGAATTCTCTTTCACAATTATAAAACTTCAAAAATAATGATTTAGTGATGGTCTAACGTGCGAGTTGAAAAGGATGGGTCAATGGCGACTAGGTAGTGGACCTTGAAAAACTAGCGCAGGTAAAGGCACAGCACAGAACAGGCTCCCGGTGCTAAATTAAGCATCAAGGTGTGAATCAGTGAACAAAATAAAAAAAATAAACAGAAACTTAACGAAAGAAAAAAAAAAACAATAGGATTGAGTCAAATCTCTCTATTCAAAGGGGAGAGTATTGGTCTACCAAATGAGGCACCAATAGAACATGACACATTATCTGGGACAAGTGGAGAATAACTCCATCTATTTTAGCAGCAAATTTAATTTTAAATGTCTTATAGTACACTTATCACCCCGCCCCTTTTGTATCCCTGGTAGATATTCCACTGTCGACTGTAAGTGGTATTATTGGAAAGTTAAAGCATAGAAACAGCAGCAACGCAGCCACAGAGTGGAAGACCACGTAAAGTCACAGAGCGCTGAGGTGCATGGTGCGTAAAAGCCGCCAACGCTCTGCTGATTTCATAGCTGAAGAGTTTCAAACTTTAACTGGAATTAATACCAGCACAAAAACTGTGTGGTGGGAGCTTCATGAAATATGTAGAGAGAGCCGAGTAGATGCATGCAAGCTTCACGTCACCAAGTACAATGCCAAGCGTCGGATCAAGTGGTGTTAAGTACGCAGTCGCTGCACTCTGGAGCAGTGGAAACGTGTTCTGTGGTGTGATGAATAACGCTTATTTGTTGAAGAGTCTGATGGGCGAGTCTGGGTTTGGCGGATCTCTGCAGTCCAAGGTTAAATAAATTTAGCATACACGGAGTGTGCACTAACCGGCGATCTGATCTTCCTGGAAGTGACACTGTGCAATGCAAGAGAAGTACAATGTATTAGACAGAACAATATCACATTAGATCCCTATGCGATACTGGCGTCTCTTAGCAGCCAACATCACTACTCGGCGCAAGCTGCGCAACAAGACACCGGCACCGTCCCACAGGACATGAAAATAGCCATTAATAAGAGGACATGTCTGGGGTAATCCGGACGTATGGTAACCTCCTCACTGTATTGTGTTTTGTATGGCAATCATTTGCTAAACATATCTGACATTAATGAATAATTAAATAAAGAAAGATTGTTAAAAAACAACAACAAAATTATGATACATAATATGATATATAGTAGAACTTCATCTATTACATAGATAGCCAGAGAATCATGGGAGTTGTAGTTCAGCAACAGCTGGGGGCCAGAGTTTGAGGATTCCTGATATAAAACGTCCCTCTTCATATATATTTATATTCTAATCTAGACGATGTATAACTTCAGACTATTATCAGTACGGACTGAGCGGCTGCATGTTCAGGTACCTATCCAATAAATGATGAAAGGGTATCAGTCAATTTCTGTGATGTGGGTGCACATAGGATGGGTGGGATGCAGCCACGTCACTAGGCGGTGGTGCTTCCCCCTCCCCCCCCACAGACTGACTACCACCATACCATTAGGATGACGATAGCACAGCATTAAAGCCAAGAATGATAAAATACATGAAATAAATGCTGGACAGAAGCTTTATTTCCACAATAATTTAATGACAGAAGATGCACTTCTACAAATTTTTACTAAATCAGTCACAGGGGTTCTGGTTTGTGCAGATCCAAATTAGCTCGCAATATCTCATCTCACATGGAGCTAACATCAGCCACCTAGAGAGCAGCAGGAATGCTATCTAGGTGTCGTGTCTGTTAGCCAACCTATTTATAGCGCTGCAGAATTTGTTGGCGCTTTATAAATAATAATAATAATAATATTAGGGTAACAGGCAGCCATGTTGGACAACTAGACAAGGCTGTGCAGGGTGGAAATTCCCTGGAACAAAATGGAAACTGGAGGGGGGCGGGGGGAAGGAAGGGCGGGGAAGGAAACTGGAGAGGGGCAGGAAGGAAACTGGAGGGGGGAGAAGGAAATTGGAGGGGATGGAAACTGAGGGGAGAAGGAAATTAGAGGGGAGAAGAAAACTGATGGGGAGAAGGAAATTAGAGGGGGGAAGGAAATGGAGGGGGGGAGAAGGAAATTAGAGGGGGAAGGAAACTGGAGGGGGGAGGAAACTGAGAGGGGGGGAAGAAAACTGGAGGGGAGAAGGAAATTGAGGGGAGAAGGGAAACTGAGGGGGAAGGAAACTGGAGGGGGGGAAGGAACTGAGGGGGAGAAGGAAATTGAGGAGGGGAGAAGGAAATTGAAATTGAGGAGGGAGAAGGAAATTGAGGGGGGTGAGAAGGAAATTCAGGAGGAGGAGAAGGAAATTGAAATTGACGAGGAGGAGAAGGAAATTGAGGGGGGTGAGGAAATTGAGAAGGGGAGAAGGAAATTGAGGGGGTGAGAAGGAAATTGAGGGGGGG